GCTGCTTCTTAGTTTATCGACGTCAGGTGTTACCTATTTACTTGCAATGATGGATGAGGATTTATCTTTTATACACCATCACTCCCCGTGTGTCCCCCTCCCTATCCTTCCAAAGAGGCATCAGATGGAGCAGAGACAGGGGGAGTCATTGCTTTAAGTGTTATTACTGGGAAATGCACGGTGGGTGAGAGTAGGAGTATTGGTCTGCCAGGATGGCGTTGCCCGTGTAACCGCCACGCTTCTCCCCTTCTTTCCAGGCCTGTGTTGCCTACTGCTTCATCACCATCCCCTCCCTGGCGGGAATCTTCACACGTCTCAATCTCTACCTGCATTCCGGTCAGGTGGCCTTGGCCAACCAGTGCCTCTCCCAAGGTAAGCCCATCGTTCTGTCATCTTGGGCACTGCCTTGCTGCTTCGGAAAGCTCGCTCGGGGAGGTGTGTGTGTGTGTGTGTGTGTGTGTGTGTGTGTGTGTGTGGGCACACGTGGAGAGAGAAAGAGAGATTCCTTTAAGGAGGAAAGAGAAAAAAAGATCAATAAATGACGAGTTTTAAATCTGTTTCTCTAGTGGGAAGCACATCAGACACATACATATTTATAGAGTCAGATTATAGAGCATAGATAATCTTCCTGTAAGAACCTTTTTAAATCTGTCTCAGACAGGCCAGGGCAGGCAGCTCAGACATCCTGTGCTAAGTATGCCTAGAGAATTCGAGAAGTTAGGAGTGCTTAACCACTTATTTGTTTTTGTTGTTGATGTTTGTTTCTGTGTTTGAAAGCTCAGAGACACCCCAGAGAATCTAATCTGTGTAGAACAAATACTCTACAGCTTGCTGTTAGGGATAAAAGTTCTGCTCAAAACTGGTCTTTCTGTACTAGGCACAGGAGCCGTCCATGAGGCAAGGACGCACGGGATAGTGATTTGGGAGGAGGTGATCCCAGTGAGTATCAGAGGTGCTGCGAGGTGAGCTGGGGAGGGAAGGCAGGCTATAAAGTGTGCACTAGTGAGCCGGTCAGTGCTTTGGGCAGCTGAGGTTCATTCCCATCTGGGAGATGGAATCAGTCACACCTCAGTATTATCCCCCACCTGAGAGGCAAGGAAGACAGGCTATTTACCCGCACGCACTCCCATCTGTCACCGGTTGAACGTTGCTTCTGGGACATCAACTCCCTGGCACGCTGGCCTTCTCCTTGCCTGAGCCAATAGAACGCCCTCAGGTGGAGAGTCCCAAGCGTTTGCTGCGGGACACCCTGGTCACCTACCGCAACAGTGTATGCTAAGGGCTTGCCGTCAGGTCAGCAGCAAAGCATCCATCCACAGGCCATAACACCGAGGGTAAACGATCTTGGTGCGACGTTTATGGAGCGTTTGTTGGGTGGCAAGCCATTTGCACACATTATGTCATTTCATACTTCTGACAGCCACATGAGGCCGTTCTTGGGGTTGGCGCCTCATTGCCCAGGTGAGAAAACTGAGGCAGGGAGAGGCCAGGTAGCTTGCCCAGGTGGGTCTACTTATGAGTCACTGAGCCAGCTGTCAGACCCTCATCTATGTGGCTCAAGGCTGAGCCCTTTCACTGCTAGATTGGGAAGTTTAAATGAATACTAGGGGACTTCCATAGCGCTGTATGAGGTAGACTGATGTTTTTGGGGGCGGTTCTCCCCTGGACCTCACAAATTATGCCGGGGTACCACTGGCTGCCATTGACTTGGATGGGAATTCTGGACCTGTTGGAGAGTAGTCATCCCTCCATTCTTTTAACCCCTGGCATGACAGTTCTGGGGATCATCTGAATCTTGATCCAGCTGGGCAGCTCTGGGCAGTGAAGTCTTCATACACGGTTGCTGTCCAAGAAACTTTTTAAACTCTGCTTCATTTTGCTTTCAACTCCTAGGGGACTGCAGTAGCTTCCCGATGCACTCAGACACTTGGCCTCTGAGTCCCCCTGTGATCTGGTACCTGCCTGCCTTCCATCCTCTCCTCCCGCCATGCTTTAGCCACGCGGGCCTTTTTCTGTTCTTTGAACATCCTGAGCTGTGTCCCAATTCAGAGCCTTTGCTGTTCCCTCTTTCTAGAATGATCTTTCCCCAGATATTTGCTTTTTTCCTTTTTTTTTTTTTTTTTGTTTTTTGTTTTACAAGGCAGGTGGTGAGAAGCAAGCCACAGCTTTTTAGGGAGACCTCTCCTAATCACTGTCCCCGATCTCCAGTGCCCTGTGCCATCATCCTCATTATCGTCACTGCACGTTCCATGATCTGACATTTTCTTACTGTGTGTGTTTACTTATTGTCTGGGACACCCCCTCTCCCTATTAGGACAGGCCCCGCCCTTATTGTGTGTTGGTAAACGTGGAACTTTCTCCTAGGGCCTGCTGTGGTAAGGATGATGGGTTAGCAAGAAACAGAACAAAAATTAACAGTTTCCACCAAAAACCTGCTGATGTGCAAAATGAAAATGAGAAAATGTTTCCTTGGATATTAGAAGTTTTAAGTCTTCTTATAAACTGTTTGAAGCAGCTCAGGCATAGTAGACCCAGTTGAGGACACCTGAGTTTGATTTCACCTGCAATGTTAGGAATGGCTTGTGAGCTGCAGGTATCAGAGTTATAAACTGCCAAGCAGAGGCTGTGGAAGCCTAGATCTTTCTTCTTCCAGCTTTATAAAATTAGGACCATTATTTTGAATCTTGTAAATCTTAGAAAATTTATGACTGGATCCCAAATAAGGCTTCATGCTATTAAAAAAAAAAAAAAGAAGAAAAAGCTAAATAAAAGCTCCCTCCTCCCCCTCATCAAAGATTTGGTGCTCCCAAGAACTGTTTGAGGATAACTGAGAAGGGACAGGCAGTGTGAAAACAAGCCCGCAGGCTGCTCGGATGAAGACAGCACCCTCGGTACCGGAACTCTGGGCTCGTCGTCTGCCCCCCACCCCCACACACTTTAAGCTACTGCAAGGGAGCAGGAATGCGGCGCCCGCTTCACGTTTAATAATTTATCTGATGATTTTTACTCAAATCTCTAAATGCTGTGGCGCTAAACCTAAAAGCCTATTATTTTTGTTCTGAAAGCCACACACAGCAACTGCTGGCCAAAATAAATAATGCATTCAATTACTGAGAATGGGAAGGCTAAATATAAATTAAATGAAGCTTATGGAAATGGGCCGCTTTTGTTTGGCTCCCTATGCATCCTCCCTTTTCAGCTGGTTATAAAATATCTGCCTCCCCCTAGTTCATTTTCTTGCCTTCCCTAATCCAGCCTTGGTTGTATCTTATTTATCTGGCTGTGGCTTTGCCAAGGCTGGGTCCAGCCCAGCAAGTAAACTCCTGTTGAACCCTCAGGCGGGCCAGCGCAGGATGCTGACTAAGGCTCCCCCTGGGAAGGGCCAGTTCTGTTCCTCTGTACACGCTGGTGCTGCACGTAGACTGGATCGTGCAGGGATTTGGTGCAAATACTCTTGCCCACAGCTCCAGGGTGTTTGGGAGAAACAGAGAACTTGCAAACCAATTATTTGGTCATACGCTTTTCAGCTAGTGGCCTATAGATGCCTGTTTATCTTTTCTTTCGACCCCTTCTCTAGATAACTTCCTGCCCTTGCTTGTCAGTGGCTCTTTGGAGAAGCTTAGTGACCAGCCATAGCAAGAGCAGATTCTTTTGCCCTTTATTTTAACCTTTGTTCCTTTATCTTTACAGTTTCTAATCTCAAAGGGAGTATTGTACAGTGGAAGTAGTATTTACAGTGGGGTTTAAAAGAAGAACATGTGTTGATAAGGATGTGGATAGGGGAGAAGAAAGGGACTATTGACATTCCAGGGAGAGTAAATGGCTGAGCAAAGGCCTGGAGGTGTGGAATTACATGGTGTGTTTAGCCAACAGCAGGATGCAGGATGAGGCCCTAATTATTAACAGTGACTTTCTAGTCTCCTGCATGCCGTGGTCCCAGTCATGACTCTCACAAGCCAGATGCCCTTGGACAAGCCAGCCTTTCTGTGCTTCAATTTTCCTATTTGTAAAGCGGAGGTGACGACGGTAGTGCCTGTCCGTTGAGTATTAAATGAGATGGTGGCCTTAGGGCACCTGGCCCACTGGCACACAGTAGCTGCTCAGCAAGTGTTATCTTAGTATAGCCATCCCTCAAATGAGCGTCACCTCCATGAGATCTCATCTGTCTGGTTTGCTCAAAAAGTTCCAGATTTTGGATTAGGGACACATGACCCATGTTATGGAGCCACTGGCTACTGGGAACCGTAACAGCTAATGGAAATAGCCCGGGGCAATGGTGTGGAAGAGAAAAGTAATTTTGTATTTCCTCTTCCTGGAGAGTCAAGTGTGGTTTGTGAAGGAGAAAAAGTTTCCATACTTATTAAGTCTTTGGAGTTTATGATTAAGATCACATTTACTAGTTCTGCAAATGGAACATCTTCTGAAGAATACGTTTCATTTGACAGTTTTCTCAAACCCTGAGGCCTATTTGGTGAATGCAGACAAAGTGGATTATTTTAGCTGGAACAATTCACAGGTGGGCAGATGCATGAAGCTTGTCCCCCACGTTCACGCCTGTCCACGCACGATCCGACCACCTCAGAGAATGCAAGGGCTTGGGCTGGATGGCAACTGCTGATGGAACCCACAGAAAAGGGGTGTGGGCAAGTCTCCCCCCTGAAGATCTCTCAAGTCCTTATAACAGTAAACCCCTACGGTTTGCTTCCTCCTGTCGGCATTCTTGGTCATTTTTTACACGCAAGCCACCGTGCCAAGCGTTGTGCCAGAAACAGGAACGTACTTGAAGAGACTACATGCTAGTTGGGGAGAGCAAATCTGTTCACAATTATTGTACAAGGCAGCGTGGGATAAATGTCGTGCAACATGCACATAAAATCGTGCCAGGAAACTTTAGAGCAGAGAGAAATGACCCTTGGTTGACTTGAAAGAGCAAAAAAGCTTCATAAAAGAGGTGGCATTGAAGAGCCCGGAAAGTCGGGGCTGGATGTGCTGGAGCGAGGCAGATGGCATTCTAGGCTGAGCAACAGCACGGGCAAGGGCCTGGAGGCTGGGAAACCAGTACGTCTGGAAGGAATGAATCAGAGACCAAGTTAGGGTGACGGTTTGAGGCCTACTTGTTGAGAGGTCTGAACCCCCAGCAAAATTGTTTCATTCAGTGTATATTATTAGATAGGTGGTTTATCTTCATTTTACAGATGAGGAAACTGAGGCTCACGACTTGCCCCGGAGCATCCAGCTAATAAGCGGCCTTACACGACCTTACCAAGTGCTCTCTTTACCACTGTGCCTCCCTGTAGTTAGGTTAGTTCCAATCAATTATTATAGATTGAACATTAAATAAACTTATTTAAGAAACAACCAGAATTAAGATA